ACACACACACACACACACACACACACACACACACACACACACACACACACACACACACACACCGCACCATGGCGTACAGGGACTCACAGGAGAGCAGCGGCTCTTCGTCCGAGGAGGTTGGTTACATGCACACACGTGTTGTGTTTGTGTGTGTTCGACGTGCACAGCCGGCCGGCTGGCTGGCTGGGTTGCCGGTGTGTTTTCGACAACGCGGACGTGTGTACGCGCCCTGTCAACCATCGTCACCATCACCATCACTATCACGACGACACTGCCACCATCCTCATATCGTGCATGTGTGCGTGTGTGCGGGCATGTGCTTTGTGCAGATCTCGTGGATCTCCTGGTTCTGCAGCTTGCGTGGGAATGAGTTCTTCTGCGAGGTTGAGGAGAGCTTCATCCAGGACAAATTCAACTTGACAGGACTGTCCGAGATGGTGCCACACTACAGGTGAGCTTGCATGCACGTGCATGGTGCAGCAAACTTGCTCTGGCAACATTCGACCGCTATTTGTCCGCGCCACCAGTACCGCCACGTTGTTCTTCTTCTCCTTCGTCACGTCATCTCATTGACTGTTGTGTTGGCTGGGGCTGGTCGTTCAGACACGCGCTGGACATGATTCTTGACTTTGAGCATGAAGATGAGCTGCCGGAGGAACAGGTGTGTGTGTGTGTGTGTTTTCGTGCGCGCGCGCGTGTGTGTGTACAGATGTTTGTTTGTGTGTGTGTGTGTGTGTGTGTGTGTGTGTGTGTGTGTGTGTGTGTGTGTGTGTGTGTGTGTGTGTGTGTGTGCACATTTGGTACCTGTCGACGTACTTCGATACGTCGGTGTGAGCGTGTCGATGTTTGTGTGCTTGAAATATTTGGCTTCGACATGCTGCATCGCCGCCGCTGCATCCATCACCATGCACACCTGTTCAACAACAACAACAACAACAACAACAACAACAACAACAACAACAATAACAACAACAACAACAACAACAACAACAACAACAACAACAACAACAACAACAACAACAACAACAACAACAACAACAACAACAACAACAACAACACAAACCACCTTGCTCACACGTGCCCTCGCTTCCTGGGCGTGCGTGTGTCCCTTGCCATCAGATGCAAGACGTGGAGCAGGCTGCGGAGGTGCTGTACGGGCTGATCCACGCCCGCTTCATCTTGACAAACAGGGGTCTGCAGAAGATGCTCGACAAGTACCTGGTGGGTTGTCAATGGCGCCGGCTGCAAGGATGGAGCAGGGCGTTGGGAGGTGGGGGTGAGAGGCGGTCGATGAGATGATGAGAAACGGGCAGCAGCACCAGCAGCAGCACCAGCAGCAGCACCAGCAGCAGTGAGAAGACACAGTCGCAGTGGTAGTCGCGGTGGTAGTTGCAGCTGTGGCTGTGGCAGCAAATGGAATGAAGCACGCACACACACACACACATGTGCGCGCCCTTGGTCATTCTCATTGGCATATTCCCACATGCCACTTGACTGCCTCGACTCATCATTATGCATCATGCTGCCTTGTGTACGTGGTTGTTTTGTTGAGTAGTCTGGCGACTTTGGAAACTGCCCTCGTGTCCTGTGTGACGGCCAAACGGTACTGCTGTGTACGCACGTGTGCACGTATGTGCTCGTTTGTGCTCGTTTGTGTGCGTGTATGTTCACATCTGACTGCCTCTCTCCGCGCTCCGCTCTCAACGCCGGTCAATCCCATCTTGAAAGTCATCCACGCCCGCACTGCCGCCACCAAGCCCGTCCACACTCGCGCCCCAAAACAAAACAACAATCCATCTTCACCTTTGCGATGCTCATATGTGCATGTCGGCATGTTGCAGGTTCTTCCTGTTGGCTTGTCTGACTGCCCTGGCGAGGCCACCGTGAAACTCTTCTGCCCGCGCTGTAACGACGTCTACGCTCCACGGGTGAGCGGCCGCCACCAGCTGCTGCTCCACTGCGTCCTCTGCTGGCTGCGCATGTGCTCATCCGTACTCGTGTGACTAACCCAACATGCTTTTGTGGTTGAATGCGTGCATGTGTGTGTTGTGTTGTATTTCACGCGTGTACGTGTTATGTTTGGTTTATGTGTGTGTGTGTGTGTGTGTGTGTGTGCTGTCAGTCGTCGCGTCATCAGCACACGGATGGCGTGTACTTTGGTACATCGTTCCCGCACATGCTCTTCGCCGTCAACCCGGAATTCCGCCCGCCACAGGTCCGTCAGCTGCTGCTGATAATGATGATGGTGTTGTTTGTTTCGTGGTGACACTGCTGCATTCTGATGATGGCGCATTTTATTGTGATGACTGCGTGCAGACGCTCGCGAGTGGTGGCATGAATGGCCCAAAGCTCACATACACACACACACACACACACACACACACACACACACACACACACACACACACACACACACACACACACACACACACACACACACACACACACAAACGCATCCACACACACACACATACACACATTCACACGCACGCACACAAAACACACACGTTTCTACACATACACGCACGGGTTTCACAATGCGCCACACGTGTGCCTCCCCCGCGTCCGCCGTGGTGTTTGTTTGTGAGCAGCAAGACCCTCTGCCGAGGTACGAGCCGCGCATCTACGGCTTCAAGCTGCACCCGACGGCATACAAGCGCATGCACGACCGCCGCGAGCAGGAGCGCAACATGGAGCAGCGTGTCCGCCCGCGCAAGCACTAGCTCTCACCCCTCCCACGCCGCCGCTGTGCTTGATGTCTCGGGGGCACTTGGTATTGTGATTATCGTCTGTCGTCGTCGTCGTTGTTGTTGTTGGTGTGGTGACTACCCATGACACGCGCTGTTGTGGTGTTGTGTGGCTTGCCGGCGTGCCCTGTTGCGACTGGTCGGCGGTGATGCATGTGGTGACGCGTGTGGTGTTGCACTTCCATTCCCACCAGCCTAGCGCCCTTTACCCTCCCTCACTCGTTCTGCATTTGCTGGCTGGCTTGGCGACGCTGTGCACTTGAATTGGATGTGCGATTTCTCGAGCTTCACTTCTTTGTTGTCCATCCCTTTTCCTCCTCTTGCTTGTCATGTCAATGCTGTATGTGTGTTTGTGTGTGCGTGTGTGTTTGATCATATTCGTGTATCACGGTGTTAGGTGTGTTTCTATGCACCCGTCACCTCCTCTGTGCTTGCTCGGCTGTCTGCCCACCGTGTGCTCGTGATGTTGCTTGCAAGCATGCGTCAGATGCGGGGGCGGGGGCTCACTGCCGGCTGTTCTGCTGGTGCACGCAGCAAGCCTGACACTACAACTTGAACCCAAAACGTTGAAGCAAATGTTGAAGTGGGGGCTTTGCTGAAGCAGACGCACCCCAAGGTGTCAGAAAGCAACACAGTGATGACAGACACGTTCGCCTTAGGGTGAGGGGAAGGGAAATAACGGCCCTGGTGTGTTGTGATGTGAATAACAAGAAGCGGATCCACGAATGTGTGTGTGTGTGTGTGTGTGTGTGTGTGTGTGTGTGTGTGTGTGTGTCATGCGTCTTGCTTGTAGATTCGCCAGGCATCAAAGGAGAGCTTTTGGTGGAGGGCGCCAGACAAGATGATTTCTGATGGCAAGAACCACAGCGTTTCAACCAAGTGTGAGAAATGGCATGTGAACAAAATTGTATGATATATGCACGCAGGGACA